TGAAGAAAAATTACTGTGCACGGATTAGATAAGGAAAAGATCAATCTTACCCTCTTAGTTTTTCATGTTTTGGCTTTTGGCCCCTCCTGAGATTCCTGCCTAGCTCCGCCACTGTCCAGTCCTGATAATCTTGAAGGAGATGTTGCTTAGTTCTGTGTTTCAACAGTTCCAGATCTTTCTTGAGTAGAAGTTTCCAAGATGTGATGCTAGGTTTCCAAGATGTGCACTGAATTTTCAAACCTGCATACCATACCATAACATTTCGAGTACTCTGAATTCTTGCAAGACTAACATCTCGAATTTGCAGACGACACAGGCCTCTTCTGGGGGCTCCCAAGCTTCAACCAGATGTTGCCCCAGGACGGTACTGTGCAGACAGAGGTCCTGCTGAGGAAGGGCAAGGATTTCAGCTTTTCTGGTGGGTGGGCACTGCCTAGAAAGATATACTTCGACGGCAGCGAGTGCACGATGCCGCCACCAGACGACTTTCCCCAGCTGCCCAGCAGCAGCCCTGTTCAGCGCTTCTCAGGAGGGCACAGGTGGTTGGCCTCAGGGGCCGTCTTAGTGCTTGGACTACTACTGACTTGAGCAGGTAACTAGTTGTGATCATTTGTAATAAATAGATGCACTGTTGGCAGATTTCTCATCCCATCATGATATTTCAAAATGTGTGGCTATTTGCAGCTCTGGCGCCGCCCGCGGGACCGAGACGTCATTGACATCTTCATTGCAGGTCTTCAGGCGATGGCTCTCCGCTTGGCGCCTCCACTTCATCCACCACCTCCGGAGCCGGATTAGGCACTTGATACCGACGCACTAAGGCATGGCAAGGCCACTTGAGGCGGCTCCCTTGGCATGCGCCTCCTTTCTTTCAACCCTATTGTCCTATGTTTGTGTACTCTGTATATGTGTGGTGTGAATCTTTTTGTTGGATGCTTATGACTATGGTGGTTTGCTTGGATGCATTTTCATGTAGTTTCGGTTGTCAACACCATAATGACTACTCATTTGGTGTGAATCTTTTTGTTGGATGCTTATGACTATGTTTGTGTACTCTGTATGTGTGTGGTGTGAATCTTTATGTTGGATGCTTTTATATACTCCCTCCGTCCCAAAATAAGTGACTCAACTTTGTACTAACTTTGTACTAAAGCTAGTACAAAGTTGAGTCACTTATTTTGGGATGGAGGGAGTATTTAACTTCTGTTTCTTAGCATTCATATGGTATATGCGGAAAGTATATGATCCATGTTGAAAAGTATATGCGGCTGCCACTTGATCCATTGTATGGTCAGAAAAGCAATAGTAAAAATTACTAGAACATGATATGAGGGGATGTTTCCTGTTTGTGAAGAGAGACAGCAGTAATATGGTCCATGTTCATGCATCAATTGATGAGGATGCTTTGTTTGTTATTGGCAATCGTTGTGCTCAACAGTCTTTGTGTCAGTGGAGAGTTTCCCAGTCTCGAATAAGGCTCTAGGAAGGTGACACTAGTCGGGCTGAAGCCATGGTTTCCTTGGGAATGTTTCTCTCTAGAAGAACTTTTCAGCTTGTCAATTTTTATGCAGTGGTGTTCTACTGTAGTGGTCGAAGTGATTCATTTCTTGTAGCCATTGCCCTTGACAGATCAAGAAATTTCCATGGATCATTGCTTGGTTGCCATGTGCCTTCCCTGATTGTTGAAGAATGATTGCTGATAAGTTTTGCAATGTAACGATTGTGCTGGTGTTCAGATTGGGAATTTTTGTTCAATCCATGTCCTGTTTTGCTGCTGCTAGGTATGCTCCAGTAAGCAAGTACACATTTATGAATTACAGTGTTGCAGCCACTTATGTCCAAGAAAAGGAGACCAGTTATGCTAAATGCTATGTTATATTGGTTGCATGGTGGATACAAAACTTATGCAGTGTCAGATTCCATGGTTACAACCACCGCGGAAGGGTGGTTTCTAGTTTTGCCTTACTGGAAAAGCCTTATTATATATGGTTATATGTTTGCACAGATTCAATGGGAGATTGCATGGTTGATTGGTCCCTTACAAGCCAATATTAGCTCCTTCAAGGCATACTCTAATTCATGTGGTTTTGAGTTGCGGCAATGGAGGATTGCTTGGTCACTAAATGATGCATTTTTACAGCATGAACTTCTATCTTGCACTTGTGGAGCTGTTTCATTCTCTGTTTCAGAACAAGTTCAAGGGAAAATCGCTTGGTCACTCTGCTATGATTTTTCTGTCCTCGACAACATCTCAGTGTGGTTCTTATGTGAGTGTTAAGCAGCTGTGGTTTGGTGCAAATTTTTTGAAAAGCATGTTGAGTTCTCTAATGACAAATCTCTGAAAATCATGGTTCAGTGCTCTTTTCTTGAACTGGTGAGCTACAAATTCTCACAAGCTTGTGCCTCTGACTTCCATAATGTAGTTGTGTTGTGCATTTGGGGTTTGCAGTAACTCACCTGTTAGCCTGGAGACATTCTTGGGTATTCAAGATTTGCAGAGAATTGGGTGTATGTGACCAAGCTTACTACTGCTGCAAATGCTTTGTTGCCGACAAATCTTATTTGCAAACCATAATGGAGTGCTCTGCTATTGAATTGATTGCCTGGTGCCCTGTTCTCTGTGTTCGGTGGATGCATCCAGCGCATTCTTTTAGAAGCTCGGATCATTGGTACGTGTTAGGTTTATCAAGTGCCTTTCTTTTGATTGAGGTTCTTCATACGACACTGTTATAACAACCTGGCAGGGATGGAAAGTCACAAATGGGTATATAAAAGAATGCCATGGGATCCTGGTGGCTGTGCAATTACCCCGGGAGAAGTGCATGTTAAATCTCTGTCCATGCAACATATTAACATTGAAGGAAGAACATTGAGGAAGAGGAACATACTACATGCTCTATACTTGTGCCTTCCTTTGGGACCCCGGCGGTTTGGAATGGTTCGGCTTGGGGGCAAGCCGAAATTTGTGGTGGGCGGATTGTCAGCAACCTACACTACTTTGACGGGTGCTGCTATTGGACTTGGGCCGCTCAGAAGCCTTTATGCACTAAAATACAAGGGAGATGGCATGGGTCAATTTCGCTTGGACGGAACGGCTGCTTCGGCGGAGGCTAGGCTTGGTTAGAGTAGTCCATGTACATTGTCTTCTCCTCTGCTCTCCTCCTTCCTCTCAATTACTCTCTGAAATTCGAGAGTTGTAACCGAATCCATGGTTAATATAGTGAATTGGTACTGAGATCCTCACACTATCGCTACCCTCGAACCTCCTGCTTAGCCGGGGCGGAAACGGTGACGGGGCGCAGGAGCCGCGTGAGATCGGCGGCCGCCATCGCCACCCATTTCCTACCTGGCTGGCACCCGCTCCTCCCCTCCTCCGGCCGATGACGTCCAGGTTTAGTTCTTGCTCAGAAATGTTGATATAGAGTTGCAAAAGTAGAATGGAGAATGCCTTATTAGCAAGGGATGAGTTCATAGACATGGTGCTCACAAGAAGGGCTGCTGGTGATTCCTATATCCTTTGGGCAGCAGAGGAGAAACCATATTAAGAGAGCATCAACAAGTTCTATCTTACTCAAGTGACCAAAAGATGAAATAATCATTAAGTAATTTGTGCAAGAATAATATTAATAAATTCATTAGTTCAGAAAGAGTGAAGAACAATATTAATCCATATAAAGACAAAAGAAATTACCTCCTTCCATTCAGTAACACCACCATGTACACACATCATATAACCTGCAGGTTTCAATTAAAATAATGGCCTCATAGAAGTTGTGGCGTAGTTCTAAAAGGTTGGAGGGGATTTTCCGATATTAATCCATAAAGAAAATTCCGCGCTCTTTATTCTTTCTCGTATATTTTCTTAATATCCTGTAACTCCATCCAGATAGTTTATATAACAAGTAATTCGCACAACAAATAGTTCACACCCTTGACCCCCACACTCGCTGGAAGCAACATGTCACGCATGGCTACTATTCCAAAAGAGAGCAGTGGACATTAGTCTCAAGGATTCATATCCAGTCTCAAAATTCTAGCTTTCTTGTGCATGCTAAAAGAATGACAACTAATTGGACTCTGCACCTATAGTTTTCTGCTTCAACGGGTTAACAAGATTCATGTCCAGAATCCAAGTTCCAGCTTTCTTGTGTATAGAAAGAGGGACATACACTAATGCTCCATTGCCTTCTAGATTTATTACATTTAAAAGATACTACCTCCGTCCTGATTTATTAGTCCCCTTTGTAATTTATGCTAAATTTTGACCAATGATTTAACTACCAAAATGTTAGTGCATGTCAACAAAAAATATATCATTGGATTCGTGTTTGAACATAGTTTTCAATGATATAATTTTTTGTGACATACATAAACATTTTGTTAGTTAAATTTATGGTTAAATATTAGCACAAATTACAATAAGGACCAATAAACCAGAACGGAGGTAGTAGATAGTAGAGCCGGTTCCTGCATGTCAAGTAAATTTTACGCAAATACTGCCCTGTAATCTGTATACATCGTTAAAGCTGTATTGGGATTATAGCCAGCAACTGAAGAAATTATTATAACAGATGATCCCTTCCTCAATTGTGGTGTGGCATCCTAACATAAGGAAAATGGGAAGTGATGAATTGTGCGACAGTTATTTGTAGAACATGCATATTAGGATTTAAAATACAGCATTAATTCACCTGAAGTAGAAGAATATAACCCTAGTTTGATGGTAACTAGATAAAATACCACAAACTGGTTTTTTCTGTGTTATATCTAATTTGTTCCTCTTCTAATCTGTAAGAGTAGGGAAGAATTTCTTGCTACTGTGGATCCTTGATGACACTCACACTAAATGTTATATCACCACCACCTGGTATGCATATGTCCATCTTTCTCTCCTTTTAGCATTCACTTCTGAAAGTCATTATTCTAAACATGATTTTTTTTTCCTTCCTGTTAAGTATTGATTTCAAGTTTAGGACAAATGTGGGGGCTTTGCAGGCGTTTGGACAGTCCCCACGCCTCCTTCTGACCACCCTGTCCTGCCCAAAACCATTCTCCCTCGCTCGTGCGCATTCCCGCCTGGTGCCAGCTGCCCGCATTCATGCGGCTGTAGAGCTAGCCGCTCCCCATTGAAGTTGGATAGAGAGCGGATGCGACCTCTCACTAGCGCTGGCATTGAAGCAGCGCCCCGGCCGAGTGCGCCGCCCACGACGCGTCCCCGGTGTCGCGCATGTTCAATGCCGGAGATGCATTACTGGACGGGACGGGGCGGATATGTACCATGCCCATTTAATACCCTGTACGTCCGTATGCTACCATTAAACATGCCCGCCGACCGAGAAACCCACTCTGGCGCCGCACATTAACGCAACCGGACGCCTGGCCTCACCGGATCCGCTATTTAAAGGCAGCCACACCCGGCTTACTCCACGCCACAACACAAGCCGCTCCACATCCTCCTCGCTTTCACCAGATCCGCCATGACTGCCGGCGGCAACACCCTATGGGAGAGCCTATCAATGGAGACGAAGCGTGAGCTGGCCGCCCTTGCGGCCACCTGGTAGAGCCGCTGTGCCAGGCAGATCGTGGCC